GCGCGGGCTCCCTATAGTGAAAAAACCTCTCCAAAAAAAAAAAAAAATTTTAAATAAAATAAAATAAGAGTACAGGTCATGCAAAATAATGATAAATCCTTGAGACGATGGTTTACTAATTACCTGATTTCACTACATATTAGATTCTTGTACAGAAAAATCACACTATACCACAAATGTAATAGTGTAAATATGCACTACTATGTGCTAATAAAATAAATTAAAAAAATAAATAAGAGTACAGACCTTCACATTACACTAGCATTAAGACTCCATAAGCAAACAGACTTACCTTTAACCAAGAGTTTTTCCTCATTTTCAAGCGTCCCATCCACATGTCCGTCAGCAGCATTTGGGTACAAGTATGTGAAACAAAGGGTCTCAATCCTCCAGACACAGCCAGCTTCAGACAGGTTGAATTACTCCAGTTCTTGAGTTTATATGTCAACAATTTCATGGCCATTCTCTCATTCTGCTTGAATGCGTTCTCTAGCACATCCAGGGCAAGCTGACCAAACTGTCTGTAATGACACAGCAATGAATGGAGAACACAAAGGCAGATGAGAGCCCCAGAAACATTCTGAAAGGATGAACAAGAGATTCAGGGAAGACCAATTAACTAGACTTTATTTTTAAAAAGAGCATGAGAACAGTAACATAACAATCTCAGTTTGCAGAAGCTAGGCCAGCTGGTGGCATGGTGATTAAGGCAGCTGGATCCCACATGGCAAACTCTGAGGCTTGAGTCCCAGACCTAGTGGCTTGAAAAACATGTCAGGCACATATGTGTGTGTGAGTGCAAAATCCCTAGAGGTCAGAAGGAGGAGAAGAGATTGTGGCATAGTCATCAGTCCAGGGGATGGAGGGTGCTTATTCACTTTCTTTCTCTCTCTCAACTCTGTCTCTCCAGTGAGTACACTTGCCCTATAGCAGTAACAAACAAACAAACAAACAAATAAATAGAAATAGTAATTAATTTTTTTTTATTTGCAGAAGCTATTTTAAAGGGATTACCACTGATGAAAGAGCCTGTTCTCTCCTTCCTGAAGAAAGGTAACTAGAGGGTTGACATTGTTACTAGAGGGTTAAATTTGGTTTACACCTGAATTATTCATGGGGAAAGGCAATTCCATGCTGTGCAACAAGCTCTATAGAGCTTTGTTTGGGACTCCCTGTGCCATAAGACCTACTAAAGATTATTTTTAATTGCCAGAGGGTGTATGCAGATAGAAAAAGCAAGGGAGAGAGAGAAAGTCCCTAATAAAGCTGGTCACACAGAAATCCTTTTTCCTCCATCTTTTTATCCCTTAAAGACTTTAGACACACTCGTATACATGTGTGGCTCATTTTTAAAAGTTATTTATTTTTTATTATCATCATAATCTTGTTTATATTACATTGGATTGCATATAACTTTACAGTGTACATGGCTCATTTTTCAAGCCACCAAAAGTGAAATTCAAACCACAGTTGGCCCTGTGGGATCTGCCTCCCTTAACCACTACACTATAAGACCAATCTCTAAAGAATTTTTTTAACAGAATAGTGTTAAAAATTAAATTAGCAACTAAAGAAATTTGTGAGACTTTTGTTTAAGATTTTACAAAATACATACATAATTTAAGTAAGAAACTAGGACTGGTGACACTCTCAGGTGATTTTCCAGAAGGTTATTTTCTCTGAAAATTAGATACTCTCATTCGCTAGAATTTTCTAAAGCAAAATTATAAATTAAAGGGCCAGCAGATGCCGTGATAGATAAGGGGCTGGATTCCCACATAGACAAATGCAGTTTGAGCCCTGGACTCAGACTTGAAAAATCACGCCAGGTGCATGTGCATGTGTGCCCAAAATCCTGAGAGGAGAATGGAGGAGAAGGGATTGAGGTATGGCTCATCCCCACTGGGAATGGTGACTTTCCCTCTCTCTGTCTGTCTCTCCAGTGAATGTATGTGCCTTTTGGCAAAGACCTAAAAAAAATTATAAATTGATTTCCATTAACTATAGCTTCCCTTCTTTCCTCACAATAATGTTTCAGAAATTAAAAAAAAAAGCATTTCTTACTTTTCTACCTTGTATCATTCCTCTTTAGTCCTTTAATACAATGAATTTGTTCACCTATCTGATGATTACTTAAAATGAACAATAAGCCTTAATTAACTTAGCATCACAGAGTTTGAGACTTGGGAGGGACTTTCAAAATCATTAATTGAACACTTTATAGTTAAGAAACTAAAGCCCCAAAATCTAGTTACTGACTTGCCCAAATAGTAAACTGTTGGGCTGGATCCGAGAGTCCTAATTTGAAAGCCACCTCACTTTCCTGTATTCCACACAGCTCCTTAGGATACTTAAAGATCCTATTGATAGGAGGGTCCATGGTGAAAGGTCTACTTATCTTTTTTTTTTTCATTTTCATTTTTTTTTAAATCCCTTCCTTCCTTCCTTCCTTCCTTCCTTCCTTCCTTCCTTCCTTCCTTCTTTCCTTCCTTCCCTTCTTTCTTTCTAAAATGGTTGGCCATGTGGGAGTCCAACAACCTTAACCACCACACCACCTGCCAGCCCCAAAAGGTCTACCTATCTTACAAGCTCTAAGATGAGGGAGTACAAGTGTCTGGCCAGTCTAAGAACTGTCAAAGTTTAGTATGAAGTGAAGAAAGAACTCCTACTTTGAGTAATTTTTCAGCTCTTCTGAGGCATCATCCACCATGTTGCTCTCCTTGGCTTCACGGGCCATGGCTCGGTAGAGTATAGAGGCAATCACGGCCTTCGCAGTGGCCTCCTCTCCATGCTGCCAGAAGAACATAGCCATCTTCTGCCTTTTCATTAGCACAGCCCAAACCAGCAGGTCATTGTAAGGGTAAATGAAGCCAGTAGACTCAGGGTCATCGGACACATTTTTTCCTTCTTTTGACTTCTTCCTTGATTTATGAAGGACTACAGACTTTTCCTGTTGGAAAATAAAATATAAATGAGTTTTCACATACTCAATATGCATGATGTTTTACTTAATGCAAAACAGTGGATATCCTAAAAGTTTTTTGTTTTTGTTTTTAAGGTTTTTGCAATAGGGCACATGCACTCACCAGAAAGAGACAGTGAGAAAAGTGAGAAATCACCCCTCAAGGAGGATGGCCATGCAACAGTCCCTTCTCCTCCATTCTCCTCTTGGGATTTTGGATATACATGCACACATGCCTGGCATAGTTTCAAGTCACCAGGTCCAGGACTTGAACTGCAGTTGACCAAGTAGGAGTCTAGCACCTTAACCACTATGCCACCTGCTGGGCCCTCCTCAACATATTCTTAAAAATCACTACTATAAACGGAGATGAAAATAATAATAGGACTGTATAAAGTAGCAACCAAAATTTAGATTTTGTTATAGTAATCTATGTCTTGCTACATTTCTATATATTAATTCATGTAGCACAACTTAAATCATTACCTCCTCAGAACACACCCAGTAACTATAGTGTAACTTTTACTTATGCTTGGAAATTGGTTGAAAAAGCATATTAGGTAAATGAGAATTATAAAATAGCAAACAAACAAAACCCTTTTAACTTTACCTAAGCAAATAGAGTCATTATCATCCCCTTAGAAAAACGCCACTAGTGTTGACAACATGCATCCTAATGGACTGGTTTTAAGTTTTCTCTTCCTTTATTCTAATTCTATTTCTCTAGTAACAATAACAAGTAATAATGGAAAAAAAAATCTCCATCTGGTAAACTCACCCTTTGCAGTTCATCTCAGATGACAACTCCAGTTCCCCATTTTCTTCTGTATAACTTTCTCTATCTTTATTTCATTTTCATCATACTGTTTACGGTTATTACTTTATGGAAGGTGGAACCATTTCTCAGTCATCATTACACCTTCCCACCCACCTCCCACACATTCAACCAGGCTCTCAGCATAACGCTTGGCAAATAATTAGGATTCAAAAGTTATTCTTTTTCATTTGAGGAGACAGAGCCAAAAAAAAAAAAAAAGTAATCCATATTCTCTATTTCTTTAAATAAATGGAATTCATCTCTATTAATTACAACCAATATCACCAAAGGTGGTATTATAAAATGCCTTTTCATCCCAGGAGCTATAGAAGGCAACCCTTTTTCAGCCAGCATGGTAACCCTTTACATGGACACTCTGGAGCAAAAGCATTTATCCCCAGAGAAAAGCGGATCTGAGGAAGTCCAGGCAAGGGGAATAACAGCATTGCATGCACAAGTGTGTGCACACACACAACATGCACACAAATACATTATCGTTGACAAGCTATAATACTAGGCCAAAAGTAATTTCAGGAAAGCTTTAAATGGGGAAAAAGATACAAAGCTCCAGGCAGAGAAAAGTGAAGGAGAAGCAAGCAGCCTTGCCATCCAGCTGGCCTTGTGCTGAGAAGGATAAGGGTGTGATGTTGGGGTGATGATTCCATTTATTTAGTGCCACCCCCTAGACTGCCCGCCTGGGTCACCACGTGGACACAGCAGGGAAGGAACGAGGAAGAGAGGCTGAAGTGCAAGCCCTGACAGTCCTCTGTCACCAGCGTCTTGGGCCTTGGTTCGCTGTGGCTGGAGGACGGCTGTGTTAGGCTTTTGACTTGCACCATCTGTTTATGGCACTTGTAAATAGGTCCTCTGTGGGTTCTTCCCTTCCTCCAACTTCAAACAAAGAAACAGTCTCTGTCTGCAAAGACGATTTCATTTTCGAATCTAAAAACGAGTATGTGCTACCTTGAATTTGTAAGGCTGGGCCGTTCTAATAAACTGGGAATGCAGCGTGCTTTCTGTAGACTCATTTCTACTTCCTGAGGAACGTCTCCAGTGACTGGGGTGCTGGGCGAGGCTGTCAGCAAAACTGGTCACTCTCTGGCATATGTTGTTATTTTGTTTTTAAAATAAAACAAACAAACAAAAAATGATTATAGTAGTTGACCACTTTTTATTTCTAGACACTAATGAAAACCAAATAACATGTCATGTTCTATCCCTAGTGGCTGTCTCTGTCTCTCATCCATGATTAGCAATTAATCTCCTTGAAAACTACTCATTCGCCCCATAATTTTTGCATTACGTACACTGCTATTTTCCTAACACCTTAGAGAACACAGGCTTTTGTTCCCTATTATGTATCTGCATTCCTTCTCTATGTGGAAATT